CAATATTGGAGTTTTTGATTTCTCCAAACTTCCTGTTTCAGGCGAAGTATATACCCCCCTAGTGGGATGAGTACATTTTCTAGTGCTATCAGAGGAGTGATGGCTGTGGGAAAATTTCGCTTACTGAGAGGTTTTTTGGCAGTGTAGTGGTCAGAGATGTCGTGAAAATGTCCCCTTATCTTTACTTATCAATTGATAAAATTGCTTGTCACTCGTCTCCATAATTTCGTGGTGTAGAGGCTTCAGCGTTTGATTGAACAACAACTGCATCGTTCTCTATCAGGCCCTATCAGCTGTTATCATTTCTTGCCACCCGCCGTCGCATTCTCCACCTTCCCCTTGATATCATTTGCTGAAATCAACGCCTAACTGATGCTGTGTACCGCGTTATGAGTATGTTGTCCTTTCCATTCTAACTCCCTTTATCAGTTCTTGTCACCCACATATTCCTGTGCCATAACCTATATCATACCTTGAAAAAACGCCCCAGTGTTCCAGTCGGACCGTCCCTGCTTCCTTCTCTTGCGCATGCTCAGATCGGGCTGAGCACGCGCAGGGGAAGGAAGCAGAGGGGGGGGGCCCAGTGCCCCCCCCCCTCTCGGCCCCACCCCACCCTGCCCCCGCACGAGCACACGTCCAGCTGCCACGCCAGCAGCTCGTGCAATGGCTCGGAGTGTACCGAATGGTTGTCTTATATAGCGGAGGCCGATATCACGATCAAAACATTGGATTGATACTTCCGCACCGATTTGCCTGTTTGCCTAGCGGTCGTTTTCGCCTCCAGCGAACTCGAACCCGTGAAGCATTTTGCGGACGGACAGACATACATACATACATACATACATACATACCGACAAACCGACACACAGAGTTAGTGGTTTATAGAATAGAAGGATTATTATTATTATTGTATTTATTACCCTAAAATCCCATAGATAAGAGCGGTCCATAGATAAGAGCGGTTTGTGCTAGAAAATGAAAATTGACGTTTGTATACGTTTTTTTGGCGTTGTGTGCTCATGATTATCGCAATAATAGCCTACAACTCTACCTTTATTCTTACTGTTTTCTATACTCTTTCTATCCTGTATCACCTGCTATGAAACGTCGTAAATCGTATACAGCAGCTTTCAAGCTAGACGCCGTCAATTATCGTGATTTGCATGGAACCTTGGCAGCGGCTCGTCATTTTGAAGTCACTGAAGCAATGATAAGAAAGTGGGTTGTTGATCGACAAAATCTTCAAGAGATGCCAGCAACGAAGAGAGCCCGACGATACAAAAAACCAAGAAATTGTTGTGAAATAAAATTTTAAAAATGTTTTTTCAAAATCATTTTTTACCGGTAAATTAAACCGCTCTTATCTATGGAATTTTACTGATCGAATGGGCTCTTCAAGTTCTATCCAGAGATCAAATTCCGGCATTTCTAGAGAGATTCCGGCAGAAATTCCGTTAAAATCGCTATTTTTCTATATGAATTGTTTATTAAGTGGGCGGGGTTTAGAGTTGAGGGGCGGAGCTTCTTCTAAACTTCTTCTCCGATTTTTATTTATCCATCCATCAAGTTAGAGGGGTGACTGCATTCAATTTCAATTTCATTCCAATTCATTTTTCACCGGTAAATTAAACCGCTCTTATCTATGGGATTTTAGGGTAATTGAAATATTAGATTATTATTATTATTATTATTTATTATTATTATGATATTGTAGTATTGATACCTTCATGCTTCTTCGAAATGTTTTACGATTCTTCAACCTTCACATGTTTCATTATTTTCAATTTTTCCAAATCCGCAGGCTAATGAATCCGGAGTGAAAGGGAGATGAAACCTATGTGTGTCTAATTCGTCGCTGTTAACCGAGAGCACAACCAGTCAGCCTATCCACTATAGCTTTCGCTTTTTATTGCACCCTGCCTACGCTAGTCCGGATTTGTGAGCAAAATGAACCAAGAGACGTTGAAACTTGAGCCACTGGCTTCACTAAGTTCTGAAAACATCCGCGCGTGTGACGCTAGCCTTGGCTGAAGTGTGGTGAGGGACAGAGATGCAAACGAGGAAATTTCTCTCAGAGGTTGGTCGTGATCTGAAAAAATTCACAGATCTACGGGCGGAAATTATATCGCACCAAAAACATGCGGATCCTGGATATTAACTTCCAGCTCTACAGGGGGGGGGGGCAAAAAAAGTCACTTTCCTTCATTGACGCTATAAGTTACACTTTATTAAATTCTGATCGGACATTTTACCACCATATTAAAGAGCATATTAAATACTATCATGACACTCCGCCACAGCCTTCTGGACGAGCGCCATCGAGAGATTCTGGCACGCGACCGCGATGTGGTGCCTGAGATCAGCGAGATAGTCGATTTCTCCGCCACCGTAGACCACCCTATTGAACTCCGCCCGAACCGGGTAATTGAGGGGATTCAGGTCAGGTGACCTACTTGGATATTCCATCTTCTTTAGGTACTCAGCCCCCTTCCATTCCAAGTAGGCGAGAGTTTCTCCAATGCCCTTCGATTCCATGTGGTGGCACCCAATGCTGTAGCAGTACAAAGTTTCCAAGAAGGTACGGGCGACGACATGTGAGGAGGATATTCTTCTCGAGTTGCTCGATGTAACCGCCAGCGCTCACCTTCAGTCCGGGTCCACGAAGAAAATATTGGTCTTCCATTCCAGGTACGTCCGGTCCATACCATCAACCCGCGCCTTTTTGCGACTGTGGTGAAGATGATGTCCTAGACCGTGGCGACGTTGTCGGAGCTGCTCGATGTTGGAGATCTTCCAGATCGAGAGTACTGGTCTCCAGGTAGCTATCCATGGGTGACTCCATACTAGAAGTTTCGCAGCTGTTTGGAGGTGACATGAATTTCAAAGGTCTTCTCCAGTCAGGCCTGCCGATGACCCCCACCACCCCCCCCCGGCTCCCGACGCCCCCGATGACTCCATATTTGACTGTTACATGAAAGGCTGATGGGCAGAGGGCAGGCCCCTGCCTTATCGAGCCAGCATCGGTTGGGTGGTTCTTTCCTCGCCCGATACTTCGGTCCACATCTTCTCTCTGCCCCGCGCCACGCGAAAAAATTAGAATAGTGACTCCGGTCGAAGCGACTTTTTGCCCCCCCCCCTGTCATTTACCATTCAGCACATTTAGCTCTCCTCACAATTTAACACTACTGTATCCCCGAATTCTCGGAATCGTGGCGCGAACTCCCGACCCCCTGTAAAAGAATTCCACAGGGGTAGCTGATAGTCTCCAACTTCACTCTCTTCGTCTAGACAACCTCGCATCGTTCGGTGATTGCCGCGTTTGATTCTTTTGTGTCTGCGAGGTTGTTAGGTGGAATTGTTTATTGTCGGCCTAACGTTTCGACCAGATCGTTATCCTCGGAAACCAAGAATACCGCGGCAAATAATACTAACAACTAACTGGGCGGCTTTTTCCCGCACTTGCCGCGGTTGGACTTGGCCTACGAGGACGACGATCCGCGCTCGAAACGTTGCGGCCCCGTCAAAAAACAGTTCCAGCTGGCGCAGTTTGTCGACGGGGGGCATTCGGCTTTTCATAGATGTGCCGACCCATCTAGGTAGCCTTTTCACGAGTTGGCACGTTTTAGGATGGTGGGGCTAGACAATCGTTACTCCAGCTTCACAAGCGTTCACTAAGGTTCTACATGCGTGGCATTTCGTAAAGCGGAACTAGGAAGCAGTGTTAGTATAAAATGCACCCCCCCCCCCTTCGCTAAACAGCGCCCGTTCAGCCTAACAACCTCGCAGGCCACAAAAGATTAAACACAAACTCCAGTGGCCAATATCGACTTACTAGCGAGTAGCACATGCGCTTACAGCTTAAGCACGAAATCCTGGCACACAAAGCTCCATTGATTACAACTTCATGAGCCTTTTGAAGCCGACGCTTACAATGTAGGAGGCACATGGTTACAGACGCTTCCATTCTTTTCTTTTCACCCGCCCAAGTGCTGCTTCCCTTTGACAAACTTAAACCGTAGTAAAGGAAGGGCCATTCTCTCAGACGAAAGGTAGCGAAAGGTGCAGGTGAGCAGAAACGACCTCTATCCACTGCACGTCTTCGAAGTTCTCCCCACCTTCAACTAACTCTCTTGGCCCCCAAGCGGATCTGATTTTCAAGGGAGACATCTCAGGGATAAATTTTCAGCGGCTTAGGTGATCTGTGGTACTTTTACGGCGACGGCTGCAGTGTGGGCTATTTCGGGCTGGGCGCATGTGTCACTCAAGTTTGGGCGTCAAAGTATCCCTGAGGAAAGTTTTCAGTCAGTTCTACCGCCGCAGAAGTATGTAAAACTCGATTTTTTGGTATAATTTTCAAAGAGTGGGCCATGAAGGATAGAAAATGTACATTTCTATAACCGATATCTTGAAAACTGCGAAAGCAATATTGCGCAACATTGAAAAATATTTGTTCAGACCATGTCATTAGTTGTCATTGGCTGTCAACAATATCATCCGTTACGTAAATGGACGATCCGTCTAAGTAATGCTTTCTGGTTTTGGATGACTTGTAAGCGCAATAACTGGTTTGCGATAAGGATAGCGGATATTTACGTAACGGTCCGACCAAATCGGGTTTGCCCACCTCGATCTTATCACTGAAGCTTCCCATTTCGCTCGGACGAATCACAGAAAAGCGCAGTGGAGTATAAGATGCCCAGCCATTTTCAAATAGTAGAAGAAAGGGAACGACCAGAGGAAGATGCATGAGTGCAATAAGATCCCAACCCTCGATCGTGTGTGAATCACCAGCTTTTGGGAATTGCTGTGTCTGTAAGGTCATAATTGCTTTGGAAACAATTTTGGGCACGTCAAAATACACAGAAGAAGGTGATTAATGAACATTTTATTATTCTGGGATGACTCGTACTCAGAACGACGGAATTCTACTAGTTGGCACGGAAACTCAAACGAGTGAAGGAGCCGTAGCCTAGAATAGCATGGAAGCCATCGCCAATGCTTTAATAACCAGGCGCCGTTCGTGGTGGTGGGCAGTGGTCGCAGCCACCACCGCTGCCAGCAGCACCAGGTTCTCCTGGAGCTCCAGGTGCTCCAGGGTTTCCGGGTGCTCCATCCTGTCCTGGGTCTCCTGCGGGTCCTGGAGGGCCGGGTTGCGAGCTTCCGGGTGCTCCAGGGTTTCCAGGTGGTCCAGGTGGTCCTGCAGGTCCAGGTGGTCCTTAAATAGGAATGATTTTAAAAAACTAACACAATAAATCATTGACTGTGTACCGTGTGACAACTTACCAGCTGGTCCAGGTGTGCCGGGAACATCGATAGTTTGTCCAGGTCGTCCTGGGTTTCCAGGGGATCCAGGTTGTCCATCGTTTCCAGGGGCTCCAGGTGGTCCGGGTGGTCCAGGAGGTCCTTGTCCTCCTCCCTGAGGGCTGTGTCCAGGGGCACCAGGTGCTCCAGAGGGTCCAGGAGGTCCAGGGTTTCCAGCGGGACCAGCTGGTCCAGGAGGGCAGTCGAAGCAGAAGTCAGCAGCTGTGGGTGCAGCTCCAGGGGAGGCATCAGATCCAGGTGCTCCTGCATTTCCAGGTGCTCCGTCTCTTCCGGGATGACCGTCGGCTCCAGGTGGTCCTGGTGGGCCGGCAGCTCCAATACCGCAAGAGCAGCAAGCGCCACCACCGCCTCCTGAAAAGTGAATGATCTTAAAGGCTGCTTTCCCTCTAGTATAATGTTAAGCGAACAAACCTCCACCAACGGCTGAGCCTCCTTCAGCGTACGTGCCGGCACCACGGGCTCTGGCGGGAACGCGGAAGTGTTGCTGCCATGTGTGCCTCTTGATACGGCTCTCAACTCCCTTGGTTGATTCAAACTGAATATGCAAAAGAGAGCTTTTCAAGAAGAAAAGCTATGCGTAAAAGAAAATAAGAAAAGAAAAGTGTGAAGTAATTACCCGACGGAATTCATCCCAAAGGCCATCAGTACGGTGACGGCAAAATTCAACCTGAATCATATGATGTATGTAAAAGAAATGAATTCAACAGAAAACAGAACAGTAAGCTGTCAAAATAAGGAAAGTACCTCGTTCTGAAGAGAGGACTGTACGTGCTGCATGTAGTTGTACAGCATAGGCACAGCCACGATAGCAGTTAATGTGGCAACGGTGGAGATGGCAATGCCGAAGAAGGCAAGGCGTTTGAGGCCCTCGGCCTCAGCCAACTTTGTCTTCTCATCGGCCATTGCTGAGTCTGATTTACTCTTACATGATCGTGCTTATATAGTAGGAGCGGGAAACCGGTCTCAATGAAGATTAGCACTGAACTGGTAGCGCCAACAAGGTACGGTAGCCGCTCCCCCCGCGTCGACATGGCGGCCGCTAGTCACCTCGTTTGAATTAGTCGTGTTAATACGCTATTAACAGGTGACTACACAATCACCAGGCGATTACTAGTTGATAAGGATATCACAAAATTTTCAAATTAGAGGAGAGTTCGCGCTCAATGCCTTTCTGCCTCGAAAGATGGATACGAAGCCTAAAATGTTTGACTAGGTATTTCTTGCTGCAGAATTGCACCTGCCCACCTTCCAGCGCTACCCTTCCTCGGCGCGGAGTGTCTGCTCGACGAGAGTTTACCGAGTGGGCGCCTGAGATATCACAGGAGGGTGTAATAGTAATCATAGAATTGATGTAATATTTTTCCGAGAAATTCGTTGCTTTCCTAGTGTGAAACCCTAGTGATCCTTGTAAGAAATCCTAGTAGAATCCCAGTAAGAAGTGTAAACGTAAAAGTAAGAAATAAAGAAGTAGTTATAATTAGAAGAGGAAAACTAGCGTTGAAGGCTGAATTCTTTTCATGAACAATCGGCCAAAATAATGCGCTCGTACGAATGTCCAGTTTCTTTTTTCCTTTCCTTTAACCCATCTGAGGAGCATATTTCTCGGAAGAACGTCCCAATAAATCGACATGCAGACATACCCACACTTGCATTAATTTGTTTACAAAGCACAACGTTTACGTCTTTTTTTACTATTTTTATTTGGATCACATAGAGTAGTCCACAGCAGCAGATAGCCATCATTTCGGGATAATCTTCGAAGCAAAGGACAAGGAGTGCTACAAGTAGTTCTCACATCAAACGTTACCCTCACATGGCAACAATCTACAGCTGGTATGCATCGCGCGAGGATAAAGCCCCGCCGTTGAACAGCTCCATTTCGGGATGCGACACGCATTCTTCTCCCATTCAAAATCCTATTGGCCTTTTGAATGCGATGTGACCGATTGAGGAGGCCAGCCAATGTAGAAATCAATGTTCTTATCCTCGCAGACAAATCTGGTACTACTTTACCATCCCCGATGGCAGAGATCTTGGCAGGTAAAGGCTGGAGCCGATCCGGGATTTAATCCCCGGACAGTGCGTAACCGTGCCATTTGCCACTAAATCACCTCTGCCTCACTTACTAGCAATTATTTTATCAATTTTTTGATAAGCAGTAGCTTGTCATACAAAGCATTTGAGGGAGACGAAGTGTAAAAAAATAGTTCTCGGAACAAATGCGAGAACTGTGCCTCCAAAACTGTTCCTCCTAAGCACTAATTTCCTCCCTACACCACTTACCCAGGTAGGGAGGGCACGGTACTTCATTTAACACGTTCTGGACTTCGTGACACACATGGTGTGTCATGAATTCGTTTCCATGTGATGTTTTATTGGATTAATTTGGCTCTCCTTCCATCTTCCACGATTGTCAAAACACAGTGTCGGTTACGAAAAATGCTTATCTCATAAGCGATTGTAAGCAGGGAAGAAATTACTGATGAAAAAGATAAACTGTTCCGGAGTTGCGCGCAGTATGGCCGTCCGCAATGTGTCAAACGTGCGATGTCTTTCAGGTGGAATATTTCGTTTGGGGTGGCTGTAATTTTATTTTGCAGTCGTGCTTAAAGGGGAGGTTCTGCTAAAACAGCACAACCTCCACCACAGCCAGATAGAATAGGCATTGATCTCCTTCTCTCCAGATATAGAAATAGTTTAGTTCTAAGTTGGACGCAAACGGGATGTCAAAGTCCTCATAAGCCTCCCTCAGTCAGCAACTTGGTGTCAGCTCACTTTTCTTAGGAACGAAATGTTATGTCATCCTATGAATGAATCATTCATCATTTTATCATTCATCGTATGAATTTGCTCTGAAGCCAAATACATGGCCCATCCTTACGGAACTCACAAACATTTAACACATTATCCTAATTGATAGGAGCTTGTTGATACAAACCCGTTTTCGTCGCAATAGGAAACCAGAAGTGATCGGCTTAGAGCGCTTACGCTGATTTTCATATTGCTATTTTTGTTTCTTGCTGTCTTTCTGCTTTCTTCAGAACCCTAGAAGAAACCTGCGGATTCCTATCCGTCTGAATGAAGCGCGACCTATGGGCGCAAAGTAAATAATTGAGTGAAAAATTCAAGAACTTCGTTCATACAGTCGCGGGAAAAAATTTGGATGAAGCTTTGAAAAGGCATTTTCATTTTCTGTTTTAAGCTATCTAATCTCTTCTTATACACCAGTATTAGGGTCAGAAGCTAAGAATATAATGTTATAATACAATAATATTAAAATTTTGGTTGAGCCGAGATGTAGTGGCAAGTGGCGCCACTTACTACGTCTGGGGTTCAAAGCCCGGATCGGCTCCCGCCTAAACCAACCGAGCATTTCGTGCCTGCGGGGAAGCTAATTAGTAGTAGACTCGTCTAAGAAGATAAAAAAGTCGACTCCTACACTGGTAGCCTTCACCCCACTCGCAAGTCCCCCTCCCCACCTTCCTCAAAATGTCTCATCGCAGGAATCTTCAAAATTCTGTTACTGCAACGCATTCGATCAACCCTCTTATTTAGAGTAGCTTTTTTAGGAGTACTTGATTTGAGCAAGTAACGTTTCATGTACAGTTCAAAACTTTTAGGTAAAGCTATTGAAAAGCGCGCGACTTGGGCTTGTTCCAAGTTTTTTTCCGCGACTGTATTTTCCTTTGTGTTGACTGTATGAGTGGACCTTTCTGTTTTGCTCTTCCATCCTTAAAAAAACTTAAAAAAACTTTTGCCTATGTATTTCTCATGGAAGTAGAATCGGCACGTGATACGCTTGTAAGAGTAAGAACCCGTTCTTGGCTCATGCAGTTCACTGCTTCTTCCTTCTCCCATACATGTCACACTTCGTGCAAACAATTATCATTGTTCGCACCGTTACGTGGTTGTTGTCTTCCCCTAACACGGAAAACACACATAAACAATCTCTTTAGGCAAGTAAAAGGATACCAAGAACAAACTGGACACACTGACTGCGTGGTAATACGCTGAAGCACTCACAACTAAATTCATCACCTATGCATATTGTGGCTTTCTTTGTATCCTTATTTGTCAAACAGAGCATCTGGCAGTATCTCTGAGCAAGCAAAATCTGGATGATCATGCTGAGCAGGGAGAGGCAACTCTGTGAGTCCTTGTAGACGTACCAGGTATCCAAATGTTATGTATGATACGCTGACGAACGAAACCAAATCATTCATTTTGGAATGCCACGTAGCACAGAGCGACCGAAGAAATGCTTTTTTTCGCTCAACCTTCCAACTCCTACGCTTCTCGAAGCTTATAGAAGCTGAAACCACATGGTGCTTTTAAAGGCAGCGCCCACATTCATTTGATGTTCCCGCGCCCTCTCTGGATATCATAGCCCTCCCTATGAGGATGCAGTATGTACTAGTTTTGCATCTCAAAAAGGCGAGAGGATAGCGCCGTTCGCTAGTGAAGAGTCGGCCGCCCCGCCCACCTGGCCAGCATAGGGTTCTATATAGGGCATTTTCCATGATTTTTCTGCTTTTTTTCACTACTGGATCACGTATTATATGATGAGCTCCATAACTCATTATTCTGAAAGTCGGGTCTTCAACTTAAAGGCAGTTGGCACGATAAATCGCTACAGGTGTAGGATTTGTACAACTGGCTTAACAGAATTCCGTGACCTCGGACAGGCGCTGCGTGAAGCCTTTTCCAAGGAGGGTACCTCTATAACGCCCTATTGAGCAACAACTTTACGTCCCAAACGCCTTCCTTGCCCGCCCGCCCACAAACGGACGACCGTTTCTGACGCTCGTATTCATTCATTTGCTGAGCAAATTATGAAGGGATTGGTATGAAGCGGCGGTGATGCTGCATGCATATATGGGTACACATATGCAGCCGTATCTTCGGTAGCGGTGATTGGCAAGATGCCTACGGGAAACTCGTCCGAAATCGATTTACAAGTCACTGAGAACGAAGGCTTTTTCTTCGCCGGATTTTGACCGTTTCACTCCGTTCTTTCGCCATTTCCCCACTATATAGCTCCCTACTAGCATTTTAGGCGAAGTAGGAAACCATCGTGCCAACTGCCTTTAAAGGCTATGCCAAAGCGTAGTATGGCAAGCCAGGTGCGCGGGCGACACCCTCTTCACAAGCGGGTGGGGCCATCCTCTCGTATTTTTGAGCTGCGAAATTAGTATATCCTCCACCCTTGTCGACAAAGCTACGATATCTAAGGAGGGCGTAGGAACATCAAATGAACGCGGGCTGCCTTTAATAGGTTGCGCCGAATTTCAGCATTTACAGCAGTGTTTAACATCTCCGTACCCCGTGGCCACTAAAAACAAAACTGGTCACACTTCGTTGCGCAGCATATGGTTGGTACCATTTTTTAGCATGTCGTCGTTCTAAATGGCACCTTCTAAACACTTTTTGAAAGAGCAAGGTATTGTAATATTGGTATACTACATATCGTAAGAGCATGGCTGAGGGTCTTATTTTAACGTGGTTTAGTTTCGTTTTTTTGGTGGGATATTCCCACTTAAGAAACCTGTGGTCTTGCCTTGTGACTAACAAAGATGGCATTGTAATTGCCCTTAGACCGCAAATATCTACCATGAGCACAGTCACCAGCTGGTATTCAAAATGTGAAAGTACAAAGCACCCGCAGGTTTGCCGTGTATAACGTCTCGCCGCAACCGTGTGCAACAGTAAATGCGTTCTTCCCTCGGAGGCATTTCATTACATTCAGGCCAACAAGGGGAGCCTGCCATTCTCGAATTGGCTTCACCAAACCTACCGCGCCTTCACTCCGCGGTCGGGGAAATACCGCTGAAGCTGACCGGTTGGGTTCCGAACATCACTGAATGTAATTTGCGGAAAAGGGGAGGTTCAACCAGCCGCAAACC